TAACAGCTAGTGGAGCTTCATGGCCAACATGAGCCTCATACTGAGCAGTGTGTGCTAATATTAACCCTAGCTGCAGAGCTAACTGCAGCCCATGGCTGGATGAAGCTGCACCCAGCTGTTGAGTGGAACTTTTTCAGGGCTTGACTCCAGTTTTTCTGGGGCAGCAAATATCAAACATGTCCTGAGCTGGAGCTGCTGTCTGGATGGTCTACTGTATGTGTTAGGAAACCAGCATCCCGCAGCTTTTTCTCCACAGATATGGAAAAACAGAGAGCTGAACGTTAATTTATGCAGCCAAAGCACAGCATGCATGAAGACCATAATTATGCAAACAGGAGTCTGTATACTGCAGCCGTCATGCAGCCAACCCACAGCATGCATAAGGACCATAAAGACACTAACAGGAGCCGTTACACTGCAGCTGTCATGCAGCCAACCCACAGCATGCATGAAGATTATGATGATGCAAAGAGGAGCAGTTATTCTGCAGCCATCATGCAGCCGAAACTGAGAGCTTCTTTTAAGTTTTTCTGTGCAGAGACAAACAGAAGTAGGTCTGTCTGCTGCAACATATGAAGAAGTTTGGACACCTGAGTGCAGACAAGACATACTACAAAACAAAGTGCTGCTCAGAAGCTCACTCTCCCATCTCATTTTTACACTAAGTATATGCTGGACACTGGATGCATTTTAATCCCCTCTGAAGTCTCTGTATGCAAATAACAAAGGTGTCTGCAGATGGCCATGTGGGACGAATCCTCCCCCCTTGTATACACAGTCAGGTAGCAGGCTGGCAGAGAAGCTCTTTTTTCCAGCCAAGTAGCTTCAAAGTGAGGATCACTTTCAGTTCAGAGCTCCTGCCACACAGCAGGGATGGTGGGTGGCGGGTGGAGGGGGGGGGCAGTGCGTGCAGGAAGCTGTTTTTTTTTCCTGGTACCTGCCACAGATGGAGGCCTGATGAAGGGGAGGGTAAGAGATGCCCGGGATGCCTTTCAGTAGGGAGGGATTAATCAGAGATCACGTCACGGCGCAGGATTTGATTCTCCCGTGCAGCTGGGGGGTCAAACAGGCAGCAAACAGTAGAGCATTTGACGGGTTTATGTTGTCTCCGGACTTCCAATCTCCTCTCCCCGTGCATTAGAACATAAGCCTTCCCTTTGGCCTTTACAATGCACTCCTGCTTCAAGTCTTTGTGGGATAAATCCACCATCTGCTTTGTTTAATGCCACCAGATCTGGTCTCTGATCCATTAGAACAAAGACATACAAAGGTTAACATACAGATGTCTGTCGGGACATATAGAACAGCTGTAGATATGTACAATGACTTAAAAGTGGCAGATGCGTATTTAAACAATGACATTACAATAATATCGATGTCAGTATGGAAAAATGTACATATTAGTAGTAAGTATAGTGTCCAAAGAGGATGCTCGTTTTCCCATCTGCTTACTGAGGAATCCAACACAGAAACTATCAGGATCAGTTTCATCACACAGTTTAGCTTATTTTCAGAGCTAACTTAGACCCAAATACCACCGTGGGTGTCAGTGAACTCTTCATTTGAAAAATTTCCAGCTCTCTACTTTGCCATCAGAAAGCTTATTTGTTTTTGCACAGACGTGACACAGGCATGTCTCTCCATCTGCAGAGGATCAGCTGTTCAGGTCTGTGATGTAGTAGTCATCTGAACTTTACCCAGCGCAGGTTTTATAATGAATTTTATTTTATTTTTTTAAATCTGAGTTTGAGATCACTTTAAGGATTAAATGCTGAATGTTATGGTGCAGATATAGTAATGTTAAAATAGTTTATTTCAGCTAGGGGTAGGAATCACCAGTGGCCCAGGGATAGGATATTATCACTATACTTGGGCCACGATATGATATCATTGCGATTTTTAACGTTTTGTAATACAGTGAGTATTGGGATACGATATATTGCGATTTATACAATTGTTTCAACTGGACAAACAGTTGCTTTTATTTTTCCAGTATCACAGAGTTGACTTCATATTAGCAAATAATTTGATAAAAATCGATACTTGGTAAATGAGACGATATAATATACCACCTGACAAAATATTGCAATACTATGCCATATCAATTTTTTTCTCCCACCCCTATAAGGTATATAAATCATATGGAGCATAAGTACTGTCATTATGTAATAAAAAACAACAGGAGACTTAACTTACCAATTCTCGTTTTTCTCTTCAGTTATAGTTCATCTCCTGCTCTTCAGATAGCACAGAAGTATCTGTCCTTACTTTTTATTATATATTTGTATAAACAGAGCCGGCCCAAGCCTCAATGGGGCCCTATACAAAATTTGATTTTGGGTCCCTCTATTTCTGCCAATCCTTTATCTTGGCAGGGTTTTTTTCTCTTCTTCCTCTTTCTTTTCTCTGCTCCTGAAGGATATGTCCTTTTTTGCGACGTTGTTTTGCCTCACAGCTACCTGCACTTTGGATGCTCAGTGCACATTGCACAGCAGAAAGCACATAACAGTAGTGGAGCTTTGACATATCGGCAATAAGAACCATAGACCAACATCAGCAGCAGCACTAAAATGTTTTTACTTTATTTTATTTATACAGTGATGTATATTTGATCATAAAGAAAGCATCACTCATACATGCAAAAAATAAAAAATATTTAATTTTTTTTTTCTAGTGGCAGTGGGGCCCTAAGCAGGCGTTTAGTTCGCTTATGCTTTGGGCCAGCTCTGTGTATAAATATCCCACCAACACCACAAACAAATACAGCACAGAAGTAAAAAAGAGAAGACTGCAGTTTGGTAATTCACTCTATCAGTGGTGCTGTGTTTAGGGGAGTGAGGTTGCTCAACTCTCGAGGGCACCTGTGACCTCAAACTTGACTCACCGGGATTAAAAAGAAAGAAAGGTCTTAAAGACACTTACTCTAAAGGAAATAGGTTTGGTTAGGTTTTCCAACATGACTTCAAACTCTGCTCCAGAAACAAATGGATTAAATCACTGAGGCTAAGCCATGTTTTATAAGGTCTTTGTTTGAAAATGTCCCTAAATCACTGACATGGGACAACCAGTCAATCAGAAGAGGAAAAAACCTTAGTAGTCCTTGATAGTCATGTTGGAAAGAAATTTCGGAGGTTCAGCAAAGACAATAGAAGCTGAAAAATTTCATTAACCTTTTTACTTTAAGTCTGGTAAATATCAAACTTCAAACAGGACCAGGGTCTCCTCTCAGATACAATGTTGGCAGCTGATGAAACAAAGCAACCTGAAACCTAAAGCTGTGGAGTCTGCATACAGACATCCCTGAAATCTGAGCATGCCTGCAGGCAGAGGAGCTGAAGCCACCCGTTAAATAATTTGATTGGAAGGCAGGTGTTTTGTTAATGGCTGACAGCTCATGCTGCGAGAGGCCGTCTCCCCCCAAGCAGAACAAACAGCTGATGAAAACATTGATGTTTTCATCAGGGAGATGAACGCCACATCCTCACTGATGCTGACTCATAACAACACAATTAGGAAGTGAGGAATCTTACAGATGAAAGTGAAGGGAAACCGTTCCTCACGCAGTTGCCGAGTCTGAGTCCAGGCAGTTTAGCAAATAGACGAGGAAGGGGAGTAGTTGCACCTCATAACAAACAGCTCTAAAGAACTTTGATCAGTTCCTAACTTGTTAAAAATCTTCTGCTACAGGAACTAAATGAGTCACGATGTTCTGTCAGTAATGAAAAATTCTGTCATGTCAATTTGTTGAAATTTCGACTGTGTTCAAAGACTTTTTCTGACCTTTTTTACTCTCCTGCTGTATGTCATAACTTTGAATAAAGCCACAACCATCAAAGCTGAGAAATGCAGCCAGTGCCAAAGACCCCAAACCTGCAGCACCCCAGGTGTCCACTGAAGGCTGGCTCTAAAAGTGAGTCACAAAGGTTTAATTGAACAAAAGAGAAAATCAAAGATGAAACTGGAGAGTTTTATAGTTTTAACAGGTTTTTATGGGTTTTAATAGATATAACAAACTGACTGGGTTTGGGGAGAAGCCCAAAAAAGTCACTAAGGAGAGCCGTGAAACAGATCATAAACAGAAACAGTCGACATATGATGAGCTGAGATTAACAAAGAGGCTATCATGAGTATTACGCACAAAATATTGAGCTAAACCGTCATAAAATCAGCAAAAATAAAACTAACCCAAATCAAGTTCTGAATCCTTTATGATACTGTCAAGTCCAATGTCAACAAATTTGCGATTTGAGTCAGACTTCTGTCCTCTCATTGTCTCACCTCTGCTGTTGAGCTTTGATATCGAAGCATTTGCTATCCTCTCAACATCTCTTATGTACCACCATCAAGAGCACTGTGAGGATTTGTTGCTGAAGTTGGAGAAAATCAACTAAAATCTGCAAGATTAAAACTGCATCAAATAATTTGTTTGCTCATAAAAACTGTTAGCGCCGAACAGAACAAATTCTGGGAGCAGAAATAAAACAGATCAGGAACAGTTATTGGTGCAGAGTGTGAACTGAGGACATCAGCTGTGCTCCACCACCCTAACAAAAAGTTAACTTCAGGTTCAGGAAACTGGGAGGACAGAGACCTGGAACCAAACTCAAGGCTACCAAAGGGCAGTTTACAAACCTGTGAGTGGCATCTTAACATTTCATGGACTCAGATTTCTTTTTCGGGGATATTAGCAGAAAGAGAGTAAAAACTTAGAACTCTTTTGGATCACATTAACCATCATTGGAAAATAAAAAAATAATAAACAAGCAGAAAGATTAAACTTTGAAGATGAACAATAATTTTCAGACTTTGTATTTTATTAGGATTTGGTGCATTACCTTGATGGCTCTCGGCACTCTAAACATCCCCGAGGTCTACAGACATATCTATGACCTCACATCTCTGCGGTATCTCTGACTGTTTCCTCTCAGGTCTTTAATCCGAAGGTAAGCTCAGGAGTTCAAAGTGAAGGAGGAGTCTGGAGTTCACACTCAGATGTAAAGCTGTTGACTTCCAGCAGGAGTAAAAACTCTGAATTATCAGAGGATTTAAACTCCACCTCGAAAGTTTGAAGTTTCTCTGAAGAGCTGACTCATCTGGTTGAACTCCCCCAGAAACATAAGACGCCACGAGTCCTGAGTCCTGATGAAGAAAGGCGGTGGTCCTCACACTGACACATACACAGTATCACCTCTCTTTTCTCTTTAACTTACTTTCCAGAGTTTTTCAAGGTGAGCAGTAAGTGAAGGAAACATATTTGTGGATGTTATACTCCATTTTTGGGCGGCACAGTGGTGTAGTGGTTAGCACTGTCGCCTCACAGCAAGAAGGTCCTGGGTTCGAATCTGGGTCCAGGGCGTTTCTGTGTGGAGTTTGCATGTTCTCCCTGTGTCTGCGTGGGTTTACTCCAGGTACTCCGGTTTCCTCCCACATCCTAAAAACATGCAGAAGTGGGGTAAGGTTAATTGGCCACTTTTAAATTGCTCGTAGGTGTGAATGTGAGTGTGGATGGTTGTTTGTCTCTATATGTCAGCCCTGCGGAGACTGGCGACTTGTCCAGGGTGTCCCCTGCCTTCGCCCAAAGATGTTGGGATAGGCTCCAGAAATAAAAAAGAAACTTGCTTGGTTTGATAGAAGTGGGTCACGACTTACAGACCATGGGAAAATGTGGGTCCAAGAGTGAGACCGGATGAGAACCACTGTTCTAAAATACATTTAAGTTAAGTGATCTACTATGTGTGATGAATCAAATGAAAACTAGTTGTATGAATTTACTAATGAGCAGAGACAGTAATTAATCATAAAGCTTCTTTTGGTCTAACTTTGCAGTACATAAATATCACTTATACCTGGACAATGGTGCCTTTTCTTTTTTGTACTTTGGTTTGTTTCAACTTCAAACTTTCTGCAGTCTTTCTAAGAAGAGTCAAAAGACTGCAGGAAGTTTATAGTTCAAACAGAGGAATAAGAATAAGAATAAGAACTTTATTAAAATAACAAATAAATAAATAATTTCCCCAAAGGGAAATTCAATAACATGTCAATTAAAAAGTGAAAAAACAGATTTAAAATATAATAAAATAAAATATTTATGTTTTGTTTGAAGTTAATGTGGCCTATAATGATCCTGTCTCAGTCTCTTCCTCTTGACTGAAGTATTTACACACCGTCTGTGCATTTGGCAGGAGTCAATGGTTGATATGGGTGGTTGATAAGAAGCTCAATTAACTTTAACGGAGGCTTTATGTTCTGTGGAGACAGTGGACAGATGCAGAGCTTGTATTTTTCGGACATTTCTGAAGTTTACTCCGCTGCTCGTGTGTCTGGACTGACAGCAAAACCTTGTCTACAAGTTTCTTTGACTCTAATTGTGGTTCACAAAAGCATTCGAACCCAGTTGAGCTGTTAAAGTTCAAACAGGCTCAACAATACCTGGTTGTTCCAAAGAACAACAGTTCAGTTAAAACTTAACTTTTGTTTTTTCATATGTCTAAATGTTTAGATGTGAACAGATTCATAAGCTTTGGAAAAAAGAAACACAATTAAAACACGCATTAAACTCCTGGAGCTCTAAAGTGGTTGCATTTGCTAAAACTAACTTTAAAGGGACAGCAGAAGATTTAGCTGAGTATGATTTGTAGGAGGTGACACAAGTGCTTCAGTCCCTGTTTTTCTGTCTACCAATCCAGACACTCATTCATAATTTTCATGTCTCCACAGGCAGTTCAAGGATGAATTATGCAGGATTTCCCCACTTAAATGCAAGTTTATGAATTTAGCAGTACAAAGATAAAACACAGCTCACGTAAACATGGAATAATCTAAGACCTAAAAAAAAGGCAACAGCAAAGTCCAACACAGTTATACCCAAACCAAACGAAACATCGAAAAAAAAATAGATTGTAGGACCTAATAATAAATAATAATGAAGCAAATACTCTAATAAAAACACCTCAATGACCACTACTTTGACTTTTGCTACTACTTAGACTTAGACACCCCCTCAAGAGATGAATGTTGCTGACCGCTTGCTTCTCTAGTTAAACTAACTTTAGTAACGACCGCATGACAGCAATATACAGTGGTCTGAGGAGCCATAAACAACCTTGACCAAAATAGCCACAAATAATGCTCAGAACAGCACCTAACTTCATCAACAGTACATATAGGGTCCCAGCCATAGAACTAGCCACCAAACATCTTTTTAACTTTGCCTGATTTCTTTAGCAAAGAAACTAAACACAACTACCCCACTCTCTTCCAGCAGCCGCTCCTCCAGAGACCTCAGGCCAATCCATTCCGGACTACAGCGGGGTGACGCAGCTCAAGGAAGAACATTTATGATAATTTCTTTATCAATTCCTTGAAGTAATAATCACCATATTAATCATTTTGCACTGCAGACGTGGTGTGATGATAAATGTTCTTCCTTGAGCTGCGTCACCCCGCTGCAGTCCCTAATGGATTGGCCTGAGGTCTCTGGAGGAGCAGCTGCTGGAAGAGAGTAGGTGAGTTGTGTTTAGTCTCTTTGCTGAAGAAATCAGGCAAAGCTAAAAAGATGTTTGGTGGCTAGTAGTATGGCTGGGACCCTATATGTACTGTTGATGAAGTTAGGTGCTGTTCTGAGCATTATTTGTGGCTATAGAGTGCCGTTTTGGTTGAGATTTGTAGATGGCTCCTCAAACCGCTGTGTATTGCTATCGTGCGGTCGTTACTAAAGTTGGTATAACTAGAGAAGCAAGTGGTCGGCAACATTCATCCCTCAAGGGGGTGTCTAACTTGGTGTTATGGAGTCTTTATCCCTTTGAATATCCCTTTCAGAACTTATATGCCTTTTTTTTTTAGTTTTGCCTTCAGTGTTGCCTTTGCGCTATTGTCAGCTGAATAAAGGCTTTACATAATCAAGGAAACAATTTTTCATCATCATTGACGCTGTACTGACAGTTTTACACTTTTGGAAATTGGGTTTGTAAATGAAAATATTAGAAAATGTTGAAATAAAAAGAACCCATTAAGTATTTTCTCCAAAAAAGACCTTTGTGACAAACAACATGATAACTAAGTGATATTTTGTTGCCATGGTAATGATCCTCCTACTGCATGTTGGGGGTGTAGGAGGCGGCAGCAGCTGCTCTCACTGTGACAGGACATCATGAGCTCTTTTGGTGGCGAATAATAAGAAGTGAACATGTGGAGGGAGGGCTGAGTGGGGGGAGTGCGCCCTCAGCCATGTGAAGCGGTAATAACTGTGTCGTTTTGTTGGAAAGAGACAGCAGGTTTGTGGAGGAGCAGCAGGGGACTCTTGAGGTTCAGGCCGCCCACTGATCTCAGAGCTGTGTCAGTTTTTAAGACCCGCAGAGACACGCACAAGTGGCGAAGTCTTTCATCAGAGTGTTAAAACCACAGAGGAGGGGGTTAAACACATTACAGCATTATCTGTAAGCCGTGCTTTCTGTGTCTCAGTCAGTGCTGGAGCTGTCCACGGTGCTGAATGCTGTAGTGCAGAGGAGGCTGCACTCCGACGCTCTCCATGGTGCTAAAATGCTCAACTGGGCTGCAAGGCTGTGCTCCGTGTGAGCTGCCAACACTCTGCTTTGTCACACAGTTTATCAAATCCAATGAGCAGAATTATTACTACAGATTTAAAGCCCCTGTTGATCTACTGATTTTTTATGATATTTTGTATATCTTAGAGTCAATCCTTATAACAGAATCAGTCACACTGATTAGTACATATTCATGTCTTTAAACTGTTAGAGTTGTCTTTAAACTTACATCACCCAAACTGCCAGTAAAAAATTAAGTGTGGCATGTAAAGTAAGAAAGAGCTGTTTATCATATTTGTCTCTGAGTTTGTTCCTGTCAACAAATGTGATGAGACCTCTTGGTTATAAAAGCAATGACAGCACACTCTGCATCCTTTTAATATCCAGCAGGAGGAAATTTAAAATCTGAGAGAGGGGAATCACTAAGATTGGAAGATAGAATGATTCTGTAGGTTCTTATTCCAGGGCTATTGTGCGAACAAATAATGTGAAGATTGGACTGCAGCCACTGGATGCATAATTTCCCCTGAATCATAAAATATGATGCATTTTTGCCAGTTCTGTATTGGATTAGGACATTAATCATCTGCAAGCATCTCCACTCTTCACTGCACAGAGCTGGGCTTTGCACTCTCATCCTGATTAATATATGATGCCCTGAGCATGAAGAGACACCTCTTACTATTTCACTAAGAAGATGTAATGACAAATTTCAGTTTTTGAAGCTTACCCATGAGTAAAAAACAGCTTTTTATTAGAGAAAAACAAGAGAAAGAAAACAGAGTCTGGTGTGCACTGCTAGTATGAAAAAAATTGACCGGCCCCCAGACTGATTTATGATGATGATCATGTCAAAGTAAAATAACAGATTATATACAAATAGATCATATTTTAATTATCCAAAGGTTAAACTTCAGTTTTGATCATAACAACATTCATAAATACTCCTATACAGTATATTTCTTATTCTGTACAAACTGTATAATTTCACTCTGACTGTGTCTGGTTATTAGCACCACTGATGTGAATTAAAAAGCCTGTCTGCAGTTCTTCCACAACTAGATGCAAAGTCAGCTCATTTTAATACATACAAATGACATTATTTGCTTTGCAAGATTAGTCGGCTCATGTATAAAACCCTTTTATGCATGGTTTGTGAATTAGACCATGTCTTTATAGTTTATTTGCATGGGTTTGGCCCCACCACAAAGGAAATCAATTCATGAATCGGGACTTAATTTTAAAGAATTCTATGAAAAAATGGGTTTTTACTGAGTAAACATTTTCCTTTTGAGTCAGTGTTCTCAATCCTTAGTTTCAGGTATTTCTTGCAACAGTGGGAAATGTATTTTGTAAAGCCATATAGGCTGGTTTGAAATAGCCCCATTTGTCCCTTAGTTGACACTCTCGTCTACTTTGTTCCTTCACCTGGCATCCTGATAAATATTCAGCTAGAACTGATACTGGCTGATTATCTCGTGTTTGCCAAACCACATCTCCCCTCCACCTCCACACTTGTCCACAAAGAAATATTTGATGTAAAGGTGGCAGAGTTTTAAAACAGTAAACAGTAAGCAAGAACTGGAATGTAAACACTTAAAATCTAAGTGTTGCACTCAGTAAACAGAATGCAAACATTTTATTATTACTGTGTCGTACTTTAAAAGGTTGAAACTTTTGTGCAGATGTTTTTAAGTCTCGTCTGTGCCGAGAACATCTCCGCTGTAGATCTACATAAGTTGTTATTCCGGTTACTTTACTGTCATTACTGGAGAAGTCTGTAAGTTGTCTTGATAACTTCAAGGTTTTTTCGGTGTAAAAGCTCAGGGACAGGATGTTCTGGGGGAGAAAGACAGAACTGCTTATTGCTAAAAAGGCTTGCGACTTTGAATTTAGTTCAAAAAGCCTGAATATTTAATTAAAATGCAAGGTTATGCCTTTAATTTGGAAAAATACTTGAACTTTTTGATGTCAAGGAAAGTGAATTCACTGTGAGGAAAGTAAAGCCTAATATAAAAGTGTAGAGACACATCCCCCAGTGAAATCATTGGGATGTTTAAAACAGTGAATCACAGTCACTGAGCAACGATTATTCTGTTAATGAGGATCATTAAAGCGCTGATGTTTGCTCTGACCTTTTGTTACCTGACTGCCTCTCATAAAGCACACAGCTATAAAGCTCAGCGCGCTGAGGACGGGGGGATAAATGTCTCCTCACAGGTGGGACGGCTGCTCTCTGCAAACTCAAACCTCCAGTCTCTCACAGCAGATGGCGGCTTCCATCGCAGGTTTAATGAGCGCTGCAGCAGGTGTGGCAGGTGTCACTCAGTTGAGAGCTTCAGTGGAGCTCTGTGAATATGCACACCATCATTACTGGGCCCTCATACATATCCACACATAATGACCGAGATTTTACTGAGCCTGCTTTTACGTCCTGCCCTGCCTGTTTACACCATCAGCTGTGTTTATTGTGTCCTCAGTTCACACTCTGCACCAATAACTGTTCCTGCTCTGTTTTATTTCTGCTCCCAGAATTTGTTCTGTTCGGCGCTAACAGTTTTTACGGGCAAACAAATGATTTGATGCAGTTTTAATCTTGCAGATTTGAGTTTATTTTCCAACTTCAGCAACATGCTGCTCTTGATATAGTTCCATCTCAGTGACTTATGATATTAGGACGAAAGTTTTTAACAGTGATAAAAGGATATCGCAGTATTTTTGAAGTGAGGTTGTATGAGTGCAGTGTTACTTGTAGGTGTATTTGCCACATTAGTCAGCAAGGCCCTGAGGAACTGCTAGTAGAAAGAAGAACACATGGTGAGCTTTGGTTTTCTGCCATCTATTTAGCTAATTTTGGGAAATTCTCACCCTAACACTCATCTAAGTTAAGGTGCACGCTCTACTGAGAAATGTTACAGCACAGACATACACTTCTATCTACAGTACAATGATTAGTTGTCTAAATCTGCAGGCTAAAAAGGACACAATGGGGGATTCTGACAGCAACTATGACATAGAGCTGGGCGATAAACCGAAAATTTACTGATACCGAAATTTATTACAATAACCAACATGATTTAGCCCGTGTCATTATAATCAGTGTCAAAAAATAAATAAATAAAAGCTGGTTTTGGATGTTTGTAGGTAGCAGTGTTGTTTTTGGCAGGCATTTCAGATTTAGTTTTAGTCTTAGTCATTTTGACGAAATGCTTCTTCGTTTTAGTCCCATTTTAGTCATTTCTATCTTTGATAGTTTTAGTCTAGTTTTAGTCCGACGAAAACTCAAAAGGTTTTGGTCTAGTTTTAGTCCAACGAAAAGGTGCCTTTTGAGGTTCGTGGTGTTCTTTCCCGACAGTTTGAAGCCGCAGCATGAGGAAGCTGTGGCTCCACAACTGTCGCCTGTCTCGTCTCCCCGTCCAAGACATTGTGTTTTATTGTCACTTAGACTGTATCTGAAGTAGGACCAAAATCATCCCTCTTTTTTCGGCCACCGGGCACCGCTGCTGTGCCTGCCGCCATGGTGTGTGTGTGCGCGCGCCTTGTCCACCTGCCGCTCTGTGTATGTGTATGCGCGCAGCTGTGCGCGAGCGAGGCTTTTGGTGCATGTGTGATGGGGGCGTGACTGTTAGGAGAAAAAAAAGCATGTTTTGAAACTTTGTTCGTCCACCTAATAACAATTTAGTCTCGTCTTGTTCTCGTCTGACGAAAATGAATACAATTTTCGTCACATTTTAGTCTTTACAGGGCTTTAGTGACGTTCGTCTTAGTCTCATTTTCGTCAAGGAAAAAAGGGGTCTGACGTCGCCATTTAAGTTTTCGTCCTGCCTGACGAAAACAACACTGGTAGGTAGGCTGTGGTTTCCTGTCCCTTTAAGACGTGACTCCACCCCATCAAGTCCGTAACAAAGAGGGAAAGACAGGTGAGGAGATGGAGGACAGTCCAAACGTTGTAGCAGCTGGAATGACGACTGAAGTAGACGAAGTTAATGTGGGAGGGGGTGAGCAGCTTGTGGAGTAGTTATCATCTATTTATCATTACCGAGGTGACCTGCTCAATATATTGTGATATTGATTTGAGGCCATATCACCCAGCCCTACTATGACATACTGTTTACTGCAGACACAAGTGGACACCTTTTTGAATCAGATTTTCACAGAGTATAAGAGAGACTCTATGCAATACAGGCAAAAATGGTGAAATCTTAGGCAGAGGGGATCTTAAGTTTACTAGTGGTACAGTTGTGTACCACCCAAACCAAGGAAATAAGAGAAGTGCTTCCAGTCAGGAGTGAGACTTGGTAACAACAGCATCTCTGGATCTTTGGGAGTTAAGAATAACCATCAGTTCACAGGAGGCTGCAGTATGCAACCATCACCAAACAGAGTCCACTGTACTGAGTTATTAAAGCTGTTTGTTACAGTAACATCCCATCCTTCAAAACTTGGCCACTGGATTCATTATAATAAACCCACAAAGATTTGGATCATTAAAAATTATCAACTAAAGAATGAAAACACAAGAATCCCATAAATGAGAGGCGATAGGATAGCATTCCCTCCCTTCCAAATGCTCCGTGTTACTGCTGGTAGGACTTGGGTTTTAACGCTCAGGATTAGGCGCTCTTCGTTGTAAATTAGTGATTTCACTTGGGCAGAGCATCAAAAACATACAGCCATCAATGTTATCCACTTTCTTCAACATTCAGAAGCTCAATCAGAAAAGCTGAACAAAAGAGTCTCTAGATCAAGTGTTTCAACACTCACTGTTTTTCTACAGCATAATGACACAACCCACAGGGCCACAGGATATATTTATCTTCTCAAAATAAACTGTGTTAGCTGCTGAAGGGGAAGACTGAGCTGAAATCACAAACTACACACATCACTGGGTCCGCAGGCTGATCTGAGACTTTTGGTGCTTAACATTCTGCAAAACTGCAATGTAAAAATATAGAAAATTCACAATACATCCTCTCAGATCAGGTATACGATGTATATAAGGGAAATTATGCATCATGTACCTGATCAGCTGATTTCTCTCCATGTGGAAGAGAATGTCTGTGTGTAGAGTGTGCAAATGTTGCAGAGTAAAGCGCTGGATAAATTCTTGTTAAACATCTTGCATCCTGATTCTGCAAACCTTGTTTTAGAAACACTAAAACACTTCCTTCTCAGAAAGCTAATGTTTTTCAATGTCAGGACTAGGCTTCTGGGTGTCTTTTACCAAGGTATTCTGGCTAGTGTCCTTTTTTACGCTGTACTTCACTGGGGGGGCAGCATATCATCTGACAATAAAAGTAGAATCAACAAGACGATAAAGAGGGCTGGATCAGTTATTGGCTTAGTCCCAGAGTCTCTTGAGGCCAGTGTTGAGAGGAGGACCAGGTCTAAATTAAAAATAATCCTGGGCTACATAGATCATCCATTGCATTATGTCTTTAAATGTCTTTCATTTTAGTATCTATTCATTTTTATCAGGTTTTTGTTATATTTAATCATGTCCTTATCTTTTATTGTATCACTTTTTTTCTGATGTCTCCATGCTCTTTGTTGTCTGCATGGGTCTTCTTGTCCTGGTGGTGAAACTGTTTCCCCCATGTGGGATCAATAAAGTCTAACTTACCCTATCTTACCTTATACCCCTTTAAAGTTCGAATGAGGAGTTTCTTTACATTTATCAAAAACACTAAAATTCATACTTTTGCTCGTGTTTTTTTCATGACTTTCTGGAGAAAACGAGACCATCAACACTAGCTAATTTTGTACCATGATTTCTAATGCCTGAAACTGGTGTGAGGGATGAGGATTTCAGCTGAGCAGCCGGAGACACAACATTTACAATTTTCAGATTAAATACTCACATTAATGATAGATTTATTTATGTTTTATTCATTTATTTTATTGCCTGCATACCTCTTGTCTAACCTTGTCAATAATAATAATAATAATAATAATCATTATTATTATTATTGTTATTGTTGTTATTATTATTATTATTATTATTATTCATAGTAATATTATTATTATTTTGTTTTGTTTTTAATTCTTATTATTATTATTTTTATTATTATTATTATTATTATTATTTTGTTTTGTTTTTAATTCTTATTATTATTATTTTTATTATTATTATTATTATTATTATTTTTAGTCCTGTTTTTAGCATTTTCCCATGTGTTAATATACTCTCTCCCTTGTCATTATTACTCTTATTTCACCTTATCTTCACTTATATTATTATCTATATATTTGCTTCTCTTCCTCTTTCATCTGTCCTCTATCCATCTTTTTTTTTTTTTACCTTCCTGATGTGATGCTGTCAACCAGCAACCGCCAACCGCCAAACTGTAACTGTCCATTTTTTAACATCAATTTTCCTTTGTCTGTTTCTGCCTTTGTTTACTTCTTCTGTTAATGCACTTTGTAAACATCTGGTTTTAAAGGTGCTATATAAATAAAGTTATAATAATAATAATTATTATTATTATTATTTGACCAGATAAACAAAGACTGCTTTTTCCTATCTGACAAAAACTGAAGGTTCCTCACAGGAGTTTTAAGTTCAAAAGGGGTAAAATTTAATAGCATGTAAACAGATTGAAATACCTTTATATAAGACCCTTAAGGGGTGTGTATGTGTGCGTGAGTAGTTCCCTGCCCGTGCTTGTGTGTCTGTGACAGTAAATCCATCCTGTGGAACAAACAAATAATCACACAGACTCATAGTGAGGCAGCCACTGACCTGCAGAGCGCCCACCCATCAGCCTGCCAGCCTTGCTCCGGATCAGGCTACATCCTGGATAATTTGGCTCCTCCAGCCTCGCTGTCTCTCCTCCTGCCACTTTACGGCCTCGCGCTGCAGAGGAACCTGCGCCGTAAACAAGAGGAGTGACAGCAGAGGTGAGAGGAAACACGGTGCTTAGAGGAGACAGCTCCGGGGATTTTCTTTATTGCTGTCTGCGGCTCGTATTTAACTCAGGAGATTTCACAAAGCCCTGCAGGAACTCTATCAGAGCGCCTCATCTGTGTGGGCCCTCAGAGACTCTTCCCTCCTCAACACAGACTTTCCGTGAGCGTCGAGGGCTTCGATCACTCACGGGTTATCTTTAAAACGCTCACTTGGGTTGATCCATCAGACTGTGAAGTTCTGGGAAGTGGCAAATCAATGAAAGAAAAGGAAAGAGCTAATGAGGGGGCAGATGCAGATTCTGGAGGCTGTCACCGGATTTGTTCTTAGCTAATTTGTCCCAGCAGTAATTAAAGTAAATCAGGTCATTAGCTGACCATTGTAGCCTGACCAAATGTGTGCTGAGCAGAACGATTCAGCTGGAAAATCACGGTTAGGCCAAAATCGAGACAGGATTTCAACCTGCAGGTGTTTGTTTCTAGATACTCTTAGCTGAATCTGAACCCCACGGCTATCCTCTGATAGTGTTTATTTATCGCTTAGAAAAGGGTTAAATTCTCCCTGTTACCACAGGGTCAGCAAATAGCAGTAAACTACTCTCAGTCAAGACTTTTTTATTTATCATCTGCAGTCCGATTAGCAACTAGAGAAGCAACTGTTTGTTTAGAATAAAAGCAAAGCAAAATTCACCACTTACGATGTTTACACATCCTTCACCACCATTTCCTGGTTCAAGGACGACCCATTTCTGCGTTTTTAGTGAGTCTCCATTTTACTGTACATCAAAAGTTACACAGATGTTTTATTTCACCTGTGTGAATCCAACAAATGATTCCTTTTATGCTCACGACTCCTTTTAAAGCTTTTGTGAGGACTTTTCAACTGGTTATAAAACAGACTGATATTAACAGTGATGCCTCAATATGAATTGAAAAAGCATCTGCAGTGAGCAGACTGACAATTACCAAAAATCAATGAGCAATGTAATAACTGCCAGAGGGCAGGTGTCAGGTGGGACGATGTTCAATATGCTAAAGAAAAAGCAGAAATTCACTTTTTCCAAAGCAGGTGATACATTTAAATGATTAAAATATGTTGATTAATAATAAAACATGATTTATACTCACATTTAAACAAGGTATTTTAGTTTTATCATCTCATTTACTTTATCAAAACCCATATTTGCCAAAGTTGTTGTCATCTGTTACAGATATTTAGTGCATGGACTCGCTGCGTATCTTTAGCAGTGCTGCTCTCGATACGCTTCTGATATGATGCTGCAATGGAGCTGATACGCGTCCTGTATGCTTTGCTGCACTGAATGACAACCTATTTGCTGCATGATAAGTGCTGCCGCCGATATGCGCTCAATACGGATCCTGTAGACATGAACAGAAGTTTACAGCTGGTATGCAGCAGTACGCAAACTGTCAGCCCTGCAATATGTGTAGCCTACATTTGCTTACCGTGTTGCTGCACAACAGTCTACATTGTAACCATTGTAATCCAATAGGACCAAGGTGCTTGTGAGTGAGTTGTATTTGCTTCAGCGAACAAACAAACTCCAGAAGTGGGAGTGCTCAGTGCGCACTTTTGATTGGATGCTGGTTGCCGAGGTGCTGGGGATTGCCTCCTGCCTTTTGCAGAAGGAGGGAACTTTTAAAGAGATGCCGTCTGCCACCTCGCTGGGTGAAGCCACTGCAAGTACAGCACTCTCTGGTGACGGGCTGCAGTATAGGTCATAAATCTCACCTCCGCCAGCAAAGCTTATGGGGCTGTCCTCTTTTTTCTGTACAGCTCAGTTTTTAAAAGTTATTAGGGGGTTCATGTTTTTATGATTGACACTTGATATGGGCGTATGAAGAAAGTGTAACTCACCCAGGGGATACGCTGTTTGAGCCGAGCGTCATCACAGCGACTCTCGGCAACTATCCCGCTGAATGCACACAATGCTACTGTGCAGGTGGTGGAGTGCGTACAACGCTACTGCACAATGTTGGTTTCGGGAAGTAGAGAGAAAACGCGGAATTACCGAGAGCTTTTTGGCCTCAAATCCGTATATTGGCGGGAGGCGGAACCAAGTTGTCCACAGTAGATATACAGTCTATGTTCAAGAGAAAGAGAGATGCAGCAGATGATGATACTGTGGCATCAGAGTCGGCACCTCGTTAAACTTGGGTGTGCTCCTCTTGTACAAAGCCTGGGGGTACAGTACCTGCAAGAACCTTATCCTACTTTCACTCCTGGGTAAAGTGAATGAAAGGCCATTAAAAGTGAATTTAAGTGATTAAGACTTTTTTTTTTCCCTCCTGGATCTGAAGGTTTAGCTTAAGTGCTGGATCATTTATAAAGGGATTAGTGTGATGTCTAAATTTCTGGCCCTGCATTAAGCTGACAGGTTCATTAATAATGAGGCCTATCATCTGCTCACACCATCAGAATCACTAACCTCCATGTTCAGGAGAAGGCTGACCCACTTTACTGACAGAGCTCTTCATCACCTCCTTTTTCATCAGCTTCTCCGCCGCCTGGCAGAGCTGGACACTGTTGAGCTGGGCTGTCTCAGATCTGATAAATCATGGGAGGGAGCTGAGAGGAGTTGGAGAGGGTGAAAGGGGAAGAACCTGAGGGGCTGACGGATAGACAGGTGGAGCTTGACTCAGAAGGTTAGATATGTGACAGGCAGGTTGGTGGAATCCTCCATTCCTCCGGGTTGTTCACAGCATCTTTGGAGAAAGTCATTTCTGTATTTTTACACATTTCAGGGTCTAAACAAATTCCAGAGGCTGCTGCAGTGAAACAGACTGTAACTGATGCAACCAAATCCCCCATCAATCAAAGTCTCTCCACTGAAAATTCTTGCAGTTTTTTTTAACATTGTCTCTGTTTTTTTCTGGCTGACATTACAGGAGGGATAGCCTTTTATGTTCAAGAGCAAGAAAACCAGGAACAGCTGTCACATCCAAGTAGAAACCTCCGATGTTGATAAATGTCACTGAAAGTGTGGAAAAACTGCAGCTTATAGAGTGTTCACTTGAGGCGCAAAAAACCAAGAGAACACCACGAGACTCTACATGAAAATTATTATTCACAGTATGAATATTCATGTTTACAGCCTAGTGTAGCTCAGCTCAGGTTTACAACAAAATAATTATTGTATTATTATTTTATTACTAATTAAAGGTGGGGTAGACAGGATCTGAGGAAGTGTCAGTTTTTGGGAGAAATCTTGAATGTAAACTCTACCCCTCCCAACCAGTCTCCCCTCAGCTCCTCCTCTCCCCTCCCTCTCTGCTCCAGCAAGCCCCGCCCACAAACAGACGCTCCTGCTCGCTTGTATCGTTTCAATTAAATTCAGATATAATGCAGATAAATACTTCAGATAATTACAAATGGGGCCCAGTCAACGTGAAAAAAAAAAGCATTGGTGCTACTGTAGATGCCAACAGACTACCAGCAAACACAATGTTTGCAGGACTTCTACAACTAGGATAAAGTGACATAGTCCAGGACCCGAAGTAAACAGTTCAGCGGCAAAACAACACGCAACAGGACGTTTGACAAGAAACACTTCTGTTACACTTGGCTTACTTTGTTAAAGTGGTTAACCTGTCCAGCAGGAAGGCTACAAGGTCCGTAATATCCCGAAGCATCCCCCATCGTTTATACTTTATTGATGTTGACCCTGCTTTTTAGCTCTTGTCCGGTCTACCGCCGTTTTAAGTGCCTGTTTTTCCACCAGAGTCTCTGGTATTTACTTTGTTTCCTTGCTTGTGTTGGCAGTCGTGGTCAAAGGAGGATTCAAAATTGTTTTCGTACTTTTTGGTCGATTTCTACGGTTCAATACTGTAGCACACTAACTTAGTTTGGGCTCGTGAATGTTATGCCAGGACATGGAGTGTGCCTCACAATACAAGGGAGCAGCGTCTGCCTCACAACCAATCAGGTTCGGGGAGGCAGAGAATGGCTTTGTTTACGGTCAAAAATTTAAAATGTTTACTACACAGACATAACAAAACACAGCGATATCGTTATATTACCAAATGTCATCAATAACTAAAAGCTATTGACTGATATTAAAAAGTTTTTTTGTATCTACACCACAAAAAATGATGCTTCTTTCACGTATTCCTGCCTACCCAACCTTTAATGTGATGAGGGTCACAAGCCAAAACTGCTGCATTTATTATGGGTATCTTCAACTGTGCATCACTACTCCACCTGGGTTGATAAACAGCTTTCTCTCCTAATGAGTGACTTTGTTATGGGCTATCACTGTCCCTCTCCATCTTTCATCCTTTTGAGTCTGTGGTTGTGATTGACAGCTGGCCTCAGTCATTAGATGTAGATGTGCTATACAGAGATTTGTCAACACCTAAAGATGTGGATAAATGTTTGCATTTATAAGCCTGGATCCTAGAATTGAAACTGAATTTCGCTTTGAGGATCAATAAAGTTCTTGTATTGTAGAATCAAAGGATCTCACTGTTTTTAAATGCATATTTGGGTCAAAACAGTGTGCACTGTAAGACATAAATTTGATTTCCAATCAGTACAATAGCATTACATATCATACCATAACAAAACAGAATTTATCACAATCTACATTCTTACATGATGGGGATGGAACAACATATAACCTTTATACACTTGAACACTAAGGTTATGTACCCTGTGGTGGAAGCATTAAACTCAATTTTTAAAAAAGATAAATAAAAAAAAAATATACATCTAAAAAAGATGTAAATTTTTACATTTAAATGTTCATTAGAAAATATATTCCATGATAGCGTGAAATCAGCATACTGCTCTCTATCTCTGACACTGTGCTCATCCTCTGTGTTGTTATACTCCAGCCATCACCCGCAGCCATCACAGGTGAAAAGTTCACAGTCAGCAGGAACATCATTACACATCACTTTCAATCTTTCTGCAGGTAAAAGATAACCTCTGTGTGTAAACATCGACTCGCTGTGACATTTAATGGCAGGGAGAAAGAGTGCGAGTCTCACCTGCCCGTTTGCGCTTCTCCCTCCAGGCTTCAGCGAGCATGAAAGTCCTGCTAAAAAGCATACTATTTACATGGAAAGAGGAGGGGGTTGAAAATAGCCAGTGCATATGAAATCCATTCATATTGATGAGCGTTTCAACGTGCACTTCAGAGACTTGCTACGACTCATTTATGATTCACATATGCAGCACTCTTCCAGCATGCGATAAGATCCAGTATAGAGAAACATGGCCTGAAAACATGTAATTAATATTCCTTATAAAAGATGAGTTCTACTAACAGCGATATGACCACAAAATCAAAAGATAAAGCTGAAAAGTTGGAATATATCTGGTTGTGATTATGTGCGTCCAATAAATAATACACTCAGAATTTTACAATCAGCATTTGCAACTAAAAATAAAATGTTCTGTGTACATTTGGTGTACATTTTTGCCAATTTCAAGTTAAATAATGGTAAAATTTTGTTTAAGTTCAACAGCACAAAACAGAGAAACTTAAAATAAAAAAATAAAAAATATATTAACATGAAAATACTAAAGACTAACATGTATTGATCATGAGTAATTCAATGAAGAGGAAACAGAGTCACTGTCAACCCCTGTCTCCCCTATTTTATTGCATTTGTTCGTTTCCTAAATCAAGTCTTTAGTAAGAATAGCTGCACATCATCAATTTGGACTTAAAACTGTTTTGAAAAGCAAGAATTTCAAACCTTCAAACTTTGCAATCAATTTGCAAATAATATGTTAATAGTCATGATGAGCTGTTGTATTCAGGGATCAATTATAGTTTAAAAAAAGAAAAAAATCAAGCACAACAACAAAAATCATCTGCCTCATTTCTTACACATGTGTATACGTTACATTCACCACACCCAGCATATGACACTTCATGCTGCTCCGTCTGTCTGCCCCCATCATGTATTGTTGATGAACCATCTGCTGCTGCTTACACTTAAGATGATATTTCAGCTGCTCTCTGTGTGCTCTAAGGTGACACTTTTTCTGGTGTTTGGGGATCAAACATCTCAGCCAGCTCAGACCCGCTGTTGTTGTTGTTGTTGCTGCTGGGTGGGTGGGACCAAGTCTAAGAGGGGAACTGTCACTGTGAGAGGACCCAGAACCAGACACTTTTAATTTATTATAAAGCTGTAGAAGGAGGGGAGCTATTTAGTGGCGATAAGGTCCTTGATGAAAGTTTGTATGATATATTACAGTGCCCGATAGTTGTGGCTGTAATCAGTCTCTTCAGCATAAATTGTTGAATCTGCTTGTCAATGTTTCTTCATGATCAACAACCAGAGTCAAGAAGGAACTGGACTGCAGATAGCATCTTGGTCAACAACAATGGTAGTGAGCAGCCTGTGTTCTTGTGTTGTACAAAACAATTTGTGTGTTTGTTATCATCTGACTGAGACCATCAGGGGAAAGTTTGTGTCCTTGATTCTCTTACTCAAGTAATGAAACTTCATGAAACTGGAGCTGACTCTGTGTTTATTTTATTCAAAACAGCTCTATCAAGGTTAAAAACACATCATAAAATCCAGGTGTTAGGTTTTATCAGAAGTTATCCACAGGCATGATCTGCAGTGAAATGAGATACCAACCTGATTATAGGGGTAATGAGGTAATTTAAGGTTATGATGCTACACCACAGTGACAATCCCTTTCACAAATTTCTGTCAGTAAAGTTCTGTGTAAGGAATAACCTGCATTATATATTGCTATAGGCTGAAGTAAGTGTGTAGCATTACTGGCAAAATTAGCCCCATTTAATGCTCTCGGTTGTACTGAGTTGTATTTCAACTTGCTGCATAAATCTACTACAGCTAAAGCCATATATTTTTTGTGCTGCGGGGTGGAGTGAGGGGCACAATATGAAAGATTTGCAAACTCTACGCAGCTTTGAACTTATGACAGCGATGTGCCTTTCATTTCTATGCAAAGAGCACAGCATCTGGATCAGCGGGCCCCACTTAAAACACTGACAAAACTGCACAGAGAGAAATGTGATCATGTAGACCTTGGACAGAGTGTGTTTTTAATTAGATTTAATGTGTTTTTCAGCCTACTTGCACTGCTAAAAATGTGAAAACTGTCTCAAAAGTGCTCTGACCGCTGGTCCTGCATGTCACTACTTCAAATTGGGTGTAATGGCTGTCACTTGAGGTGCATTTAATGAGAGTTTGTTTTGTTTGTGCAGCTACGAGGAGTTTATGTAATTATGCTGCAGGGCCTTAAAATCTTGTGAGTTTTCAGGGAGAAATGAAAAAAGCAGGAGGGGGTTGGGAGATGGCTTGTGTAACCCTTAGATTTACATCCTTTCTTAATGCTCAGTGGCTAAAAAAAGCCACTGACATTGACTGCTGTAAAAACATATTGGATTCATGTTTTTTCCAGATTTTTTTTTCATATATCTCTTAAATAACTTCTGCTCTATTCAAAACTAGTAAATGTTTCATTAAGAATCCAAATTTTAACCCTTTAAGTACCCATTTAAAACATAAAGTCACTAATATTGGGGAAAAAAATGGGAGTAAAATGACTGATTTTTATTACATTTATTTTCTACCATATCAGTGACATTATGTCTTGAATGGACCCTCAAAGGGTTAAAAAATGTTTTAGATGAAACGTTTACTAGTTTTGATCA